GCTTGTGTCGCGACGCTGACATATTGATTTCACCCAGAGCAGCCCGAGTCTTGTGCACTTTTCACTGGAGCCTGATAAAGCACACTATTGTTGAAATCGAGGATGGAGCCCGTAAGGTGGAAAAGCTTAGCTTAGGTCGATTTGATAGTTTCTGGTCATTGCGTGCTTTGCAGTCTGTGACCCTCAGCCCTAGTCCCGAAGGCATATGTACATTACCTGCTTGGAGTCTTCACCGCAAAGTTTGTGCTCCGCAAGTTTCATGGGAAGTTGAGAGCCCTCGGAGCCAAATCCCCATGCGGCTGAAGGTCCACAAGACCGATGGAAGGCATATACCGACAAGGACGGTCATCATTTTGCGGCGTATTCGGGTGTTTCTTAGCATCTACTTGTCTGACGAGCCATGTGAGTAGTTTGATGCATTGAAGGTAAGGGATGTCACAAGGGATAGCAGGAAATTTGCAGCAAGGCCCTGTCTGTGCTGCGGATGCAGCAACAGGGTTTCCTATATAGGCACCTTATTGAGGCCTAAGTTTACACTGCCTGTATCACTATAAGTACATGGACCATAAGGATTATCCTAATACCCCGGGCTTGGCCTCTTTCGCATCACAGCGCGACCTGGAACTTTGGCCTTTAATCCGTGCATCCCAAGCTTGCAGCTAGCGGGTCTATAGGCTAGTCGCTTGTGCATCTTCAAATCGTCACGGGTCTCAGCAGCGTCTGCAACGGAGCCTTGAGTTTTGGCGCCGTTTTGTTGTACTGCTGACCGGCTGGTGCCATGGACCCACTTGTTCCGCAACTTGTGCAGCTTCGCGTTCCTCCCGTGGGCTTGCACGGGCGGCCTCCACCCACGGTGCGAAAGTATGCTCTTGGGAGAGACGGCAGAAGGATCCCTTTCTTGTGGTTAAGTGGACTGAACGTAGTTGGTGCTGCCCTGGCACTACGGAGCCACTCGCGGCCAGATCAAACACCGTTCTCTCAGAGGAACCGAATGCTGCAAAGGCCTCGCGAGCAGTCTGCCTCTCGCACCGGTCGATATGGCAAGAAAAAGAGCCCGAACCTACAGGTTCATCTGACGCCAGGGCTGAAGCAAGAATCCTCAAGTGTTCGAGATAAAATTAAAAGTTCCAGGCGCCCACAGCAGCTGTTGAATATTCTGACGCGAAGCCAAAGACAGGGTGGACTTGATGCCAGTGTGCTCGGTGCAGCAATGCTAAGATGTGGGCAAGGATTGTGGTGGTCTGAGCTGGTTGATGTCTATGCAATGCACCAGCAGTTGGGAATTGCCATACACTGCATCGGAAACAACATGTTGCTGCATGCATTGACATCTTGTCTCAAATGCAGGAAGACTTCGTTGGCAGCTATGCAAAGTCGGAAGCAGGAGGCTTTGGAACTAGCCAAGCGTGCATGGGGCCGGCCTCCCCCGACAACAGTGGCAGACTTCAATTGTGGGTTGAGCAGTGCGCTGCGCTTATGTTCTCTCATAGGCAGCGATTCGGCGTATGCGTGGGCAGACGATATTTGGAAGGAGTCTGAACTGCAGCCGTTCCCCAAAACGTTTGTGACCTACGCTGCCAGGACTTGTCTTTGTGAGCAGCGTTGTGAATATCAGGCCGTATCTGACTTGCTGATGCAGACGGCTCGTCAAAGGCTTTCTCCGGATGAGGTACTTCTGGGCGGATTGCTCCAGGAAGCAGCAGCCCACTTCAATTGGAAACGTGCCGATGATATTTGGCAGCTGTTTCAGACGCAGCACCAAGTGAAGCCGAACTTCTTAACATACACTGCATACGGCAAAGCTCACCTTCTTGCAGGACGGCCCCATGTGAGTGTTCGGATAATTGAGACCATGTTGTCAACTGGCACTTGCAATATGGATTACAAGCTGGCGATAGAGTTTGCACAAGCCCTGCTTCTTGTGTGCCACTCGTCACTGGCCCCATCCGACATGCAAAGGCTAACCAGTTTCTTGGATGAAGGTGCCAAGATCATTACGAAGGAGTCGGCAGGGTCTGGCAAGGACCAGTGGCAAGACTTGACGTCCCGGGCAGAACGTCTGATGGCTGACCCTAGCTCTGTCACCTTTGCGGACCTTCTCATCACCATGAATGCTCGCGAACTCAGCGTGATGAAGTCTTGGCCCAATTACCCGCCAGGCAGCGGCTACTTGAAACAAATGATTTGTGGGAGAATCCGTCGCTTCGTATGCGGTAGTACACTTGAGTCGGGCGCAGCATACCTGAGGATTTCCTAGATTTGTAAAGTAGGCTTGAGGGTTCTCGCGGTTTTTAGGGTGGAAGCCTTGGCGGCAGTAGACTTGAAGTTCGTACAGGTTTGGAGAGTCTTGGGGGTAGTAGCCTGCGGGGCTTATATGTGCGCAAGTACGTTGGGACACAACGGCCTTGGTTGCGAATCTGAACAGGCAGCTGCTTGTTCTAAACATGAGCAGGACTGGCTCCGCACGACCTTGCACTTATTGTTGTGAAAGTCGAAGCCGCCGATGTTTGCTGCACAATTCCGAAGTTTCTCACGGTAGTCGTTATGCAGCCGTTCCAGTAGCCTGTATAATATTCTACTACAGTCAATTGGAGAACTTGGAACTGCCTTATATGTTGGTTTACCTTGGAATAGTTGATGTTTTGTGGGGGTTCCGGCTGTTGAAGAAGAGAGTATTGTGAAACGTAAATCTTCTTGCTCAAAGGGTCCTAGGTACCGATGTAGTAGAATGTAGGGTTTCCATAGTGGGAATTACTACTATGACTTAGGGAAGTATCCCCCGTAACAGTACATAGGACCCTTTGGGTTGTAAACCCTGGCGGAGCACCTTATAGTGTGGTCGTTCCTATGTCTGTGCAGAGGACATACCGCGCCAGCGGCAGCCTCAGCTTCCAATTCATTGCAGTTCTCCAGTACAGGGTGTTGTAGGGTGTTTCACGAGATTCTACGGGGTTGTATGGAGTCTTCTGTGGTTTGTATAAGAGTCTGTAGGGGTTATAAGGTAGTTTATCGGTTTTCGGTTGCCTGTATGGGGGTTCAGTTGCGAGTGTTCGTCTTCGCACCCAACCGCACCAACGATCCCAATCGCCACGCAGAATAGACTCGACTGATTCACTCTACTTGCAGAAAGCCACGGGCCCCGCAGAGCTTCGGGAGTAGAAGAACAACATCCTCGAGGGCTCTTTTGAAGAAGCCATGCAAGTAGCTACATTCTGATACACATCGGAGACCGGATAGAATTCTTCCGAGCAAGAACCTCTCCAAACCCCGAACATCGACTCTTGACCGTGAATGTTAACTCTCATGCCGAGCCTGACAAGACTCTCAACCAAGGAAGTGCATGCCAAACGAAGCCAAACCCCAACGATTTGGCCCTGACCCCGTGAACCCGAACCCTGATCTTCCTAAATCTTAAATGCCATTCCCTGAGCCCTAAGCCGAATATGTCATACCCAAGATTGAAACCTCAGGCCGAAAGCCCTGAACCCAAGAAAGCCTACATAAGTAAGCCCACGAGCCGATTTCAACCCCCAAGCCCCAAAATTCTATTCCCTAAAGGTAACGAACCTAAGACCTTCAACTGCAAGCCGGATCCCAAACCTTACCTTTGGCTACTAGGGAATGGAAGAATGATAGTAATGGTAGTTATAATTGTACCCCATTCCTCCATTCCCTACTAACCAAAGGTTCTGTGGAGTCGAAAGAGCCATTGCACTTTAAGAGAAAAGGGTAAGAAACCCTAAACCCAGACCCTACCACTATGGGCTATTAGACCCTAAAGACCCCTATTAGGACCCTATTAAGGGTAGATTAAGGTACCCTTAAGGCCTAATAGCCCATAGTGGTAAGCTCTTTTATCCACGAGGCCGTTAGGGCGGCCCAAGGAGATGAGGAGGAGAGAAGATGCCAGGTTTGAGCAGTTTACTTAAGCCGGGTTCAGGGTTTAAGGTCTGGGTCGAGTCTATCAGGGTGTTTCGGGAAGATGAGTTCGGGATTCAGGAGTTTAGATGTCACGGTTTTGAAAATTAGACTGTTGATTATTATTTTTAGTTTTTGAGGGTCCAGAAAGGGTGATGCAGGGCTTGTGGGGATGGGCATCACCGGAGACGGTTGTTGAGGATCCCAACACCTCACATCCTTGCAGTCATTTGGGATGCAGATTGAGGCGAAGTCAGCTTTCAGGTCGAGTAGCTGCGGTGTTTAGGCTGGCGAGTTGAATGCCGGAGCATGCTTGTTAGTTTTTCTATGTTCATACATGTTCAATTTTTCTTAATGCGAAAAACAAAAATTCATCTCCATATTCATATGCGGTCTCTAGCCCGGGTAGTGTTTTTGCAGGGCACCAGCTCAATGCAAGGATGCCGTAGTAGCAACTAGGGTCTGGATTCACCAGTCCAGCTTGACGACCGGTGTGTATGTTGTGAATTGGATTGTATCTGGGGTATACAGTGCGGAGTACAGTCGAGCCCCTACAGGCACCAGGGAGCCAGTGCAGGAGCTGTGGTATCCGAAACCACGCTATGTAGAGAGATGCACATGTGTGTAAAATTGATTTATGGATGCATGGACGGAGGTATGTATGTATGCATGCATTATGTATGCATGCATTCATGCATGTGTGTAAATATCTTGTATGTAGACGACGTATATAGCAAATGCACATATAGATCCCTTGAGGCCTGATGACGCTCCCTGATATGCCAGCATGACTCTCTGGCCCGAGGCAGAACAAAGCGATGGGCAAATTCAGATCAGATCGTAACCGGCCCCTGATTGGTAGAGCCCCTGTTCCGTCAGAGCTTCTGTATTAAGATCGCTGTTTCTATGAAAAGGCGTATCAAGAGAAAGGGTTTGTCAATCAAGGGACCAACGCTAAGCTTCAAACCCAACATTGCAATCCCCATCCTCCCGATACACAGCCTACGTGGACAGATAGATATTCTACAAGACTTAGGCGATTCAAGGTGCCCGCAGTCCTTCGGCCTTTTGGCTTCCCAAAGATGCCATGGAAGCCTGGTCTCCATCGCCTGGCCGCAAAAGTTGCAGACTACAGAATTCCGGTCCGTGCGAAGCAGATAGGAAAGGAGGCCCTTCCGCTTCTGAGCTGAAAGCGCCAAATCTGTTCCGAGAACGCCCCATAACCATACACCATAAATAGCCCCTTACATCCATTAATTGCCCCAATCAAAAAACCAAAACCCTGAATCCCGAAGCCCTTCAAATCCGAACTCTGAAGTTCGATCCGTTCATCCCCACTTCGACACTTGGTCCCAATTTGTTGGTCTGAGTGATTCGAAGGACGACGTCCTGCACGTGTATAGGCCGTAATGACTTCCTTATGAGTGCTCTGTGATAATGAGGCCCATAAGGCTCTAGGGCATAATATAGATGAGGATACAGCGAATGTGTACTATAAGGAAGAGTACTCCTAAGCATGTAGGCTTCTGCAGCTTCTACAGAAATTCGTGCTACGATTCAAATCTCCGACCTCCTCTCTCCAACACCTGACTTGAGATCCCAAGTCCTTCAAAGCCCTAAACTCCTACTATAGGGGCCCAAATAAAGATGGCATATCATACCCCCACCCCCCCGAAAAAACCTATTGGAATTACTAACGCCCCTATATTATCCACAGGACGCCCTCCTCGCCCGACACTCAACACCCTAAGCCAACAAAAACCTAAAGCTCAAAGGTTCCTAGTTCGTTGCCTGCCGCTGGCGCTGTTGCTCTGCTTTTGGGCGTCGCGCCACGTCTCGCGTGAGTCTGCTGTGCATGGGCGGGCCCTGTCTCTTGGCAAGAAGCTCCTGAAAAGGCCTTGTTATGGTATTAGTATCAATATGAATTTGAATATGAATGTTAATCCTCATGTGTAGAAACCTATTTTCGCGGCCTTCCTAGCACGCAGATAACATCTGCGTTCCCGATGTGCCCGGAATAAGCTTCGAATCCCAGCGCTTCATCCGAAGCTTCGTTTGAAATGCCCCAAAAAATCTCGCGAGACTCGCTAGTTTGCGGAGCGTCGCATCCTTGGCCACCGTATCTCCAGGTTGAGGGTTGAAGCTGTAGGGTTTAGGCTAGGAGTTTGGAGCCAACCCTAAATCCCTCCAAACTCCTAAGCCCCGAAGCCCTAAACCCTAAACCATAGACTCTAAACCATAAAACCCTAAACCCTAAACCATAAGCCCCGAAGCCCCAGCACGAAGTGCAAGGCAAGTGCGCCATGCGAAGCCCGCTTCACAGTGTTCCTTCGTCTCGGAGGATGGGGTTCTACTTTTTGAGGGGTTTAGGGGTTTAGGGTTTGGGGTTGAAGTTTATCTTTTGGAATGGGTAGGTGTTGAGGAGGGTGGCGAGCATCCCCGTCGACGATGCCAATCAAAGAATGCATAGCCTGCCCTACGCCTACCTTGCAGGGAACACGACCTTCGAACGCCCGGAAGCATTCTTGGCAGGAGGTACCTAATGGCTTCGAATGGCAGGCAACGAGTGAGTCTTTCGAGTTCTTCCGATGCCTGCAGCTTGACCTGAGGCTACACTTGGAATCGAAAGATAGGCTGTATGGATTCGGGCTGACGGTGGTGTTGCTTACAGCGTGTGCCTCCAAACCACCCTGTACGGCTCCGGGTAGTAGTTCGGAGATTGTGAAAGACGGTAACAATAAGGCAACATCACTAACAGCACCCCAGTATAGATTTTGTGCAGTAGATACCTAGGCCCGAGTCTCAATATTCGACCAGCGGCAACTGTATTGAAGTTAAGCCGTGTAGTATAAACTCTTTTTCCAGCTTTGGGGCTTATAACAAGGAGAGGCCTAACGAGACCCCTGCTGAATAGATTGTTCGACTTTGGCGGTGGTTCTGTTAGCATCCCAATAAACCGATTCGGGGAGGAAGGGTGTATCAAACATACGTACGTTTAAGGACTAAGGCTCAGGAGTTGATAGGGCTTGCCGCTTGCAAGACGAGCCGTAGCGATTTGAGCAGTATCCCTAAGCCCGTCTGAGCAGTGTAGCCAAGGCATGATGTGAAAGCGCTGGATATCTTCCTGAGCGCCGCGTTTTTCAAGGACGGGGCTAGGGAGATGATCTCTACGTTGGGAGCGGTTTTTTTGGAATAGGATCCCCTTATAGCCCCCATACAAGTAAAATAGACTGTAACCCCTTTACTACCGTACCTTGTGTGGTCCTTGCTGGATGTGTCTGGATGTTCCAGTCGTGGCGTCCTGGGGTTCGGGCTCCCGGACCAAGAAAGCCCTAAATCGTAAATCCTATACTCAAGAGTACGGAGGACCGGGTTCAGGGTTTAGAGCATTTGCCATCCAACATTTTGTCTACTGCCTCCCGGGGCTCGTGCAGACACATATCCTCAACCAACTCAGTGAGTCAGCTAGTGTCAGTCAAACATGCAGTCACAGGAAGTGGAGCACAGGATTTAAGGAGTGTCCATACTGTGGATGACGTTTGCGTCTGCTGACAGTTACGAGATTTCAAGTCATAGACCGATTCCCAGATGCACTTTTGCTCCACCCGCCATTCCAGAACAGCGGTGCATAAAGCCAGAATTCCAGGGAAGATTTTCCAAAACCTTCAACCGCTCCGAGCCTCCATGTCTACCTGCAGGGCCGAGCCTTGCCTAGGTCGAGGCGGGCTTCAGGTTATCTAATGTATCATATATGACCTATGTAAGTTACAGTATGATAATAATAGTATGTATATATATATATATATATACATATGTAAATCTGTATACACGTATGTATGCATGCATGCATGCATGCGTGGCTACAGTAGATGGATCGATGGATGGATGGATGGATGGATGGATGGATGAATTGATGGATGGATGGAGGGATGGATGGATGGATGTCGATCGGTCTGCTTGTCTGTCTGTCTGTCTGTATGTATGTCTGCATGCATATAAATAAACAAATAAATAAATAAATATATATATATATATATATATATATAGTTTTTTGCATTTCATAATAGGCATGCCTATATGTATTTATGTATGTATGTATACATATATATATATATAGTCACAATCATCTGGGGTGAGGGGCTGCTCTTAAGCAACGAAGGTTTACTGTTTCGGGGTTAAGGCCTTGAGCCCCGAGAGCTTTCACCTACGCAAGAGGGGCGCCTGCATAATTAGAATGGTGCTTGGGGCAAAAACCCGTGTATTCATATTCAGGAACCCCAAGGCATATTTTTTGCTTATGCCGATGCTCTATTATCATTCACAGACACCTGCCGGACCCTCTATTGGATGTAGTTAGAAATGGTGTTCCTTCGCACAGGAGTCAGCCGTTCCAGTTGCCGTCCCAGTTAAAGGTGCTGGGGAAGGGTTGCCGAGAGTTTGGCTGAATCCAGCGGCTTGGCTCGAGTTGGTATACTGCGTACTGTGCAGAGTAATGAAAGATGGCCTGAATAATGCCCAAAACTGTTGTTGGTTACAGTGCAAGAATGCAATGATACGGTGATATGCCTCGCGCATCCTGTTCTAGTCGGTCCTGTGTATCACGGACAGGCCTCCAAGCACGGATGCGTTGTTAAGGAGACTTGAGCTGGATTGCAACCTCTGTTGACTTCAGCCCTTGCGTGAACATGTTATGATAGTAGATTCAGAACCCGAATACCCTGAACCCTAAGCCCCTAAGCCCTAAACCCGCTAAACCCTAGAGCCCCGATCCTCAACAAGCTTAACAAACCCCCAGGGATAGCCATACTCGTCCCCTGATGGTGCACCCGGAGCCCGAGCATCTGAGGATGTTCACGTCCATCACCTCATCTACAAAATCTCCGGCCAAGTGCGGTATGTCGCCACCTGGCTCGGGAACGGAGCTACCCCCAGCCCTCAGAGTCCCGACGTAACCGCTACAAGTTCGACCCCCGGCCCCCGAACCCTCAACCCCACGGAAAAGGTCCGATACTACAGGCCCTGAATCGCCGATGTGGCTTCTGAGTCTGCGGGTTTCGGGTTCAGGGCGTCAGGAATGCAAGTGAGGGTATGCTTTCCAGGTGTATAGTAACGCCCACTGTGGTGGCCAAACTTCCGCACCAACTATCAGATCGCACTTGTGAAGAATTCCAACTTGGGGTCGCCCACATTGGTCTTTCGATCGTTTTTGCTGTTTTCCAACAGTTTCCAAAGGCTTATGATGCTGATCCCTACGAGGTTTAGGTGGCCTTCTGCAATGTACGTCTCAGGCCTTGTCGGGTTCGAGTAACACACGGGTCTTAGTCTTAGTAGTCATTGCAAGGTTTAGGCTTTAGGGGTTTAAGCTTTCAGAGTTATTTAGGGTTTAGGCTTTGGGGGAAATCGCCCTATCCATGGCCCCAGAAATTGGATCACCCAAGCTCCAAATCGAAACCTTGAACCCTAAACCATGACTCTAAGCCCCTAAACACTGCCGGATCCCAGGTGGTGGAGGGAACCGAACTCTCCGCCGAGCAGTTTCCTAACTCCCGTAGCTGCGGTAAGTGGATTCATCGATGGTGCTCCGTTCGCGAGGCCGCGATCCTTCCCATGGGGGCCTTAATAATTATAGGGTTCCTTTAAGGGGATCTTTAAGGGTTCTATAAGGGATCCATAATCGGGGTCTCAACTCTTGGGGCTTAGGGGCTTCCTAACAATAACTTTAGTATAATGGGCCCCAAAAGCCTAAACAAACTATTAAGGCCCCAAAAGTATTATGAGCCCTACGGTTGATGATATAAATCCTGCATTACCCATAATAAGGAATATAGTTTAGGGTCCTTAAGGTAATGCAGGGTTTATATCATCAACCGAAGGAGTCCTGAACTAGAGAGGGATGTGGAGTATATGATCCCGGTTCTCGGTTCACCCCCCCCCCCCCCCCCCAATGGTATCCCCCCCCCGTACGGGCAGAATAGATCTAAAAAGCTTCCCCAGGACCGAATGCCTGGAAGCTCCCAGGGCGCGCTGGGACTCTAAGATTTGGTAGTTTCCGAAAGTAGGGGATCCTTTAAGGGTTCCTTTCAGGGATCCTTAAAGGGTTCTAGGGTTTAGGAATCTGGGAGTTTCCGAAAACAGGGGACCCTAATATAGTACCCTGAATAGTAGGATCCTTTTTTTAGTTTAAGGACCCCCAAATTAGGTACCCCTCATTTTCGGAAACTCCCATTTGAGGGAGGAGAGTCCAAGGGTCCAGCCTTTCAGAGTTTCTTGGCGCATGGATTCTCATGAAGCTTGCTATGCCGTTAGAGATTTTAGGGTTCTCTAGATAGTTCTTATCTACAGGAGTCTGGCCCGACTTGCAAATTTGAGACCCGTCTCCCAGGGCAGGTTAACTCATGGCACAGTCGGCAGTACTTTCAGTAATGGGGATGCTTCGTCGTCATAGTACTCGTAAGTCGTAGCAACTCTTACTCATACTACGTTTAGCTCCAACAACACTAATTTCTCTGTTGAGCGTTCGAGGTTTCGGTGTCCCTTGTCATTGGGGCACGGGTCCCACCTGATCTCGGCGAGATGTTAACTTGTCCTTGCCCGTATAACTGTGATTAGGGTTTAGGGTTGCTTTTTCGTGTCTGTGTATACTTGGCAGAATCAAAAAAACACACACAAGTTGAGCATGTGTTCCTTGGTTCCTTCACTGCGAACACCGTTTCACTAGCATGATAATACATATATAGTATGTATAAAAAGGTACATATACACTGATGAACATATATAAACACAGACATGTGTGTAGCTACATACATGCATACAGATACAGATACAGAGGTTCAAAGCTGCTTGGGTCAATGAAGGCATGACTTATTGCTATCTCTTTAAATGTGTATGTGTTAGTGTGTGTGTATACATATTTATGTATTCTCAGATGTGGCCACGTCTATGTCGGTTCATGTATTCGTTCACATCGGTTTCTTGATTCGCATGTCACGTGTGTATGTATGCATGCACATATGTGTGTACCTACAGAAACACATAGGTTCAGAAGTGCATGTATGACTTAGCACCGCCATCTTCACACATGTGTATGTGTATGTGTCTGTTTGTGTATGTGTGTGTATGTGTGTGTGTGTGTATATGTGTGTGTGTGTATGTGTATGATATACATAATTATATATAATTATATGTAACCATATACATATATATATATATATATGTGTGTGTGTGTAGCTATGGGTATGTTGGCTCATGTGTTTGTTCACCTCAATGGTTTACCAGCTTGTGTGTATATGTGTGCATATATATATATATACATACATGCACACACATACATATTTGTTTAAACATGTTTGTTATTCATTTCAGGGCATATGAACTCTCATCTGTCACAACATCTCTTTGTATTTCATGTCAGGTCAGCGAGAAGATGTTGTGTCTTGGTCGATGGCTTTAGGGACTTCAGGAGTTTTGCAGTTGGAGGCTCAGAGTTTTGGGGTTTATAGGGTTTAATTTAAGGGTGTATATATATATATATACATATATATATATATGTATATATACATATATATATATATATACATATATATATATATAGGGTTTAGGGTTTGAAGGTTACTATTAGGGAAGTGGGGGTTCCTTATTGTTCATGTAGTATAGTGGGCCCCAAAATTGTAGAGGGGTTCTATAGGGGATTTAGGGTTAAGGGTTGCTGCAACGAAACGGCTGTTACGGTGGTGTAAGGGTTGTAGACCGCACGCAGCAAGATGGTCCGCCATGCCGGTTTTGCAGTGCGCGCATCGATGCCTACGGGGAGGAAACGGTAAGCTGCTAAATGTCAGCAGCATCGTGCCCGCAGCACATGAGCCTTTTGTCATATGTGATGTGAGGGATCGGGGGTGTGTACAATAATCATGTATGGGCTATTGGAAGGATCAATAGTAATAGCATGCATTACCAACAATTGCCGCCCTTGCAACTTTCATACTTCTCCGGATTGCAACATGCGGTTTCCGAAAATAGGGGACCCTAATCTAAAACCTTCAGGAGTAGCATCCTTATTACAAGGACCCCCCCCCAAAATCAGGTACCCCTAATTTTCGGAAACTTTTACATGGAACCTGGAAGGGAGCCCGCAAGTCAACCTGCTGTCCTATGCAGATGCGGATTTTAGGGGGTACCTTATTTGGGGGTCGTGATAATAAGGATCCTACTATTTAGGGTACTATGTTAGGGTCCCTGATTTATGGGTGGTTGTCAAACTTAGGGTCCCCTTCTGGGTCCCTAATATAATACGGCACCTTATATTTATAGGGACTATGGGTCCCCTTTTGGGTCCCTGAGATAAGACGCACCTTACAGTTAGGGTACCCAATTAGGGACCATAATTTTGACAACTACCCATATGTTTGGCTACAAGAGTCGATTTGCAGGATCTCTGAAGCTGGTCCCTACTTAGAGGATCATGGGACTTAGTAAGTATGGTTATAAGTAGGTTAGAGTTAGGATAACCCCACTTAGGGGACTTATAACCCTAGTTATAACCTACTTACTAAGTCCCATGATCCTCTAAGTGAGGTTATATTGTATTGTATCGTATTGTATTGTATCGTATTGTATTGCATCGTATTGTATTGTATTTGAATAAAGCATTTGCTAACTGTTGTAGTATATTATATCGCATATTATAGTATGTTGGTGTATAGTAAAGTGTTTTTATATCGTATTTTCTATCCTGGTATGGATCGAAACGCAAGCATCTGCTCTGATCATGGCTACCTCTGTTGTCGGGATCTTAGGCACGATGTTCGGGGTTTAGAGTTTAGGGCGTCCGACCCGATCCCGTTCCCAAAGGTGTGCCATGCAAGACCAGACAGATCGAGAGGGATGTCAGGCAGACGTGCCCCGTCTTTCCACAGCATTGGGGGCTGGGAGCAGCTGCTTTCGCATAAACCCTAAACCCATAACCATGGCTACATTTTCATAGGTTTTGCAGCCTTGCACATTTTTCATTCCAGGGTCTAGTCTATTCTCCACTTCCCCCCCCCCTTCCAAAAACAACAAAAATATTGGCCACATGTGCTCGCCTCCTTTCTCGTTGAGCTTTCTGGGTCATGGGAGTTTAGGGTGCTAGTGTCTAAACGATAATGAAGAGGCACACGGATTATCTCGACGACTGGATTTATTCGGGTTGGTGAATACGTTCTTGGATCGTGGTTGGTTGGCTGGCTTCGCGCTTTCTCCCTGATATGTCGTGTTGCGGAAGCCCCTCCGTCAACAAATCCAAAATATTCCAAAATCCTCACAAACCCTAGACCCCTAGACCCTCACCCCTAAACCCCTGGAAGCCCACCCTAAACCCTAAACCCCAACCCTGAAACCCACTCCAAAGCCCAAGTCAGGTGAGCGCACTGCTCTTGGAGCTGCAGGAAGAGCAGTTCAAAGTCGACCAGGACTCCGGTGTCTAGGGCCCGAATGATAGGAAATAAAGAAGAGTGACGTCATAATCATAACAATAATACTGAGAATATTCATAATAGTAATGATACCAATATATGAGTCAGTGTCATGATAAGAGTAATAAGCGGCGAGAATACCAATAGTAATAACGACAATGTCCGTAATCATACTCGAAAACGAAGAAGAATACTGATAGTAGTAGAGGCTTTGGTTTGGAGTTTCGGATTTAGCAGTGATCTCGGGTCCGAGGCTTTTAGCAGGTTACATAAAGAGCCGAATACCCACTGTCTGCAGCCTAGACCCTACGTAGGTGGGGTGGGCCACTCGGAGCAGAGCTTTGCGGCTCATGCTTGAAGCCCTGCACGCCCTGACCGCCTAAGCTTCAAAGACTACAGCCCGAACCCGAAGGCCTGAAGCTAGAACCCAAATGCCCTCAACCCCAAAACGCTGTCCCCGGAAGCTCTAACCCTGAAGCCCTAAAGCCCCGAAACTTGATCCCCGGAACAAGAGGAGATGCAGCAGGGAAATGTGGAACCCGCGTATTGCAACATGGCATTGTTGGCTCCCAAGCTTCGAGATGACGAGTGGCTTAGAGGATATCCTGCTGCTCGATATTATTCAGTCGGTTTAGGGTTTAGGGGTTTAGGGTTTAGGGGTTTGTGGCTAAATTGAAGTTGAAGGATGGCTGCGGTTTAACTGCGTGAGTGTCTTGCAACGGTGATACCAGATGCCACGAAGGATGCACAGTGTGCTCTAGCAAGATGCGGCCAGCCGCCAGACAGCAAGATTGATTACGACATTCTCCATGCATGCTGGCTACGTGGCGACGTGAAGAGTATGATATCGCTACTGACCCTGATTTTGCTATGCCTTTTCACCTTGGTTGGGGTTGTTGCAGACAGCTACTTGGTGCCGGCTCTGGTGCAGATCGGCCGTGATCTCGAGATGTCGGATGCGATGCTGGGGGCCACGCTCCTGGCCCTCGGCGGATCGATCACCGATTTTATGGCCGGGCTGGTCTCGGCCTTAGCAGGGCAGCACTCCGCAGACGACGTCAGCTTGTGGCTGGGTGGTATCGTTGGCGCAGGGCTCTTCGCCTGCACTGGCGTCATGGCCATCATCATGGTGGTGGCTGGACGTAGTGGTGTTCCGGTCGACGCAACGGTGTTTACCAGAGATGTTGCATTTAGAAGCCTCGCGAATGCACTGTTGCTCGTCGCGGCCTTCCTGCAGGTGGTGTCCATCATGTGTCCGACTCGCACATTAGTACTTGACCTTTAAAGCCCAGTAGCCCATATAGCATACAGCCGAAGCTTGATGTAGGGCTTAAGTATGAGAATGCCACCGCATGGATAGCTGGGCTGTTATTCGATTCTCGAGGAACCTATTTTGGTGAAGGGAGCTTGGGGCTTTCGGGGATTTGCTTTGGGTTTTATAGGTGTTTAGGGGTTGAGGGGTTGGAGGGGGTCTGGGGTTTTGGGGGTCGAGGTACGCCGCCATCATGATTGCCGGCTATGCCTGGTATGTCGTTCTCACGGTCGGCGGGGGAAAGTCGGCACCTCAGAGCAGCGAAACCAATGCCAGCGCTGCAGGCTGGGCGTGGGACGAAGGGGTTCTCCTTAGGGGTACTTAGAAATAATTTTTAAATCTTTGGCTAGGGTTCTAAGTTCAGTATAGTCTCCTAAGCCAGCTCTAAACCTTCGAACTCGAGATCCATGAGCCATACAAGTTCACCTCACTCAAAAACATCACTTGACCCTGCAAGAACCCTAAGCCTTGTGTCGTTATCTATCTCCTAACCCAGCAAACCTATCAAGCCCTCGAAACCCTCATAAAGCCATATGAAAGCAAAAAAGCCAATAAACGCCATCAAAGAGGCACACCCGAACCGGCGGAGCCCCGTGGTTCTCGAACTTCGCAGCTCTCTTTGCCGCGGGGAAGCCGGCTTTCCGTATCCTTTCAGGCGGGTTTAGGGTTGAGGGGTTGAGGTGGGACACTATGGGGGGGTGCAGGACTTGAGGGGTTATGGTTTGGGCTTGATTTGTGGGCTCTAGAGCTTAGGGGCAAAAGGGTTCGGGGTTTTATACACGTTTCACTATGCTGGGTTCGCAGGGCTTTCGGGGTTGGGGGGGTTCAAGTGTTTAGGGGCAGCAAAGTCTTGCAGAAACCTAAACTCGTCCGGTGACCCCAGACCGCTGAGCCCCTGGAGCCCCAGGCCTCAATCATCAGAACGCGATGGAAACCTTCATAACCATGAACAAGAGCATATGAAGTAGGGCTTATATTACCCTTTTGGTGAGTGTAGATAGGGCTCCTTTTGAATTTTGGTGAGTGTATGTATTGGGTTTTATTATGGGGATACTAGTAATATGAACCATACTCTATATGATGCTGTGAATCTGGCAACCCCATGATACACACCACCTGCGCCCCGCGGGATACACTCAAAGCTCCCCCGTTCCAAAACCCTAAAACCCTAAACCCCAAAGCATTAAATTAAACCCTACACCAAAAGCTTAAACCCTAAACCCTATAAACCCTAAACCCTCAACCCTGAAACACTAAACCAAAGCTTAAACCCTAAACCCTAAACCAGAGCTTCAACCCTCAACCCTCAAACACTAAACCCTAAACCAAAGCTTAAACCCTAAACCCTCCATATAAGCCCTAAACCCTCAATATAAGCCCTAAGCCCTCAATATAAGCCCTAAACCCTCAAAAAAAGCCCTAAACCCTCAATATAAGCCCTAAGCCCTCAACCCTTCAGGCGCTGGCCGGCCTCGGAGTGCCCAGTCCCGAAGTTTCACAGGCCGGCGATGCGACAGTGTTCAGGGATGTTATGAGGTCTTCATTCTAGTCGGGAGTTTCCGAAAATAGGGGATCCTGTAAGGGTTCCTTTAAGGGATCCTTTAAGGGTTCCTTTAAGCGATCCTTTAAGGGTTCTATAAGGGGTTTAGGGTTTAGGAAGCTGGGAGTTTCCGAAAATAGGGGACCCTAATAATATGGTACCCTGAATAGTAGGCTCCTTGTTATAAGGACCCCCAAATAAGGTACCCTAATTTTCGGAAACTCCCATTCGGGTTTACAAGGGTTCTGGAGAGGGCTTTGAGAAATTGAGGAGGTGTAATTAACTCGGGTCGAATCGGGGAATGTGACGGTCAACATGTCATTTCAGGATTGCACATGGGGTCTGCTAGATTCCTACCCTCTAAACCCGAAACCCTAACCTCCCACCTCCCAAAAACCCTAAGCCGCGAACCCTAAACACCGTAAGCCAAAAACTTAAGCTCTACCCTAAACGCTAGACCCCAAAACCCCAACCGCAACCTCCCCACGAAAAAGAAATCCCACCTTAACCCCTAAACCCTAAACTAAACCCTTGAGTCCTTTCAAGGCAGAAGAAGAGCTCTGCTCTGAGAGGGTGAAGCGGCATCTGGGTTGGCCAGAGGATGGCGCTCCTTAGCACCCTTATAGGGCTCCGGTTGCCCAAATAGTAGGTTATAATAACCACCATCATATATATATATATACATATATATATATATACACATACCCCAGTAACCTACTAGATAAGGTAACTGGAGCTCTAGGGAAGGATTATATTCACAACATAGCGACGAGGGTAATGAATAACGAAGATTCATACGATTCACAATTTTGTGTGTCTCCTGGTTCATAATATAGGGCTTTATGCGATCCCCAAAAGGGAGGCAGCTTGGGGTTTCAGAGGGTTGGAGTTGGGGGTTGAGGCCTCTGGGTTTGTGGGTTTTTGGCTTTGGGGTCGGGTGCATTGCGAAATTGCGTCAGCTGTAGGACTTCGCTTTTCGGCAAACACCACCAAAGAGTTGTTCAGACAAGAACGTTCCATGCATTCCATGCTTGGGCATGAGAAACCGAAGACAAAGCTCATTGGCATCAGTCTGAGGAGCAAGTGCGAAGTGAGACACAAGTCTTGCCAGCCTTCCAAGCGCCTTTGAGGTTATGGAGAAGATCAACTTTGCCGTGGCACTTCCCTTCCGCCCTCTTTTTGCTTCTGGACCTCTAAGAATGCTTTTTTCTCAGTGTTTGGATATTAATTCTCTGGCTGGCCGATGCATCTTAATTCTTGTACCCCAAAATTGAAGCTGATTGCCAGAAGCAATTGACCCATGATATGGGCACAGGGCTCTAAGCTACTGGACCTGGCAGTTTGGCCGAACAGTGCGTGTTGTACCTACCACCTGGTCCCATGCCTGTTGGCTAAACTGTAGGACCCGAAAAACCCAACGCCCTAAACCTTCCATTGTATCAACAGGTTGAACCAAGGGGTGGGTGTCAACAAAAAGCCTCGGGCTGCAGAGAAAGTTCAGGCGATTACCATGGCTAGGACAACCTGGGATGCTGCCTTGAATCCGCTGCTGCCTCTGGGGATGTGCATCTTCATCCCTTATGGGAGCCTGGGCATGCTTATGATACGCAGGAGGTGGCGGTGTTGCTGTTTCTGTAGCAGTCGTGATGGCAGTGACGATGGTGCGGTTGTGTCGGCGGTGCTGATGGCGCGTGATGATGACGATGGCAAGCGTGGAAGAATATGACCGATGATGGTGGTGAAAATATGATGATACCGCAGATACCAAGGAAAGGACCATTGTGGTGCGATTGTTGCTGCGTTGAATATTCATGTTGGCAGAGGTGAAGGCGATGCTGTCAGAGCCGTAGCCGTGGTCGTGGTGGTGATGTTCATGCTGTGTTGTTGCTGCCGGCTATCGTCGTTGTTGACGATAACGGTTGATACGTTTTGGGACGGTGGTGATGATGGTGGTGGTGGTGCGGTTCTGCTGGCGGTAAAGGCGGTGATCGGGATGGTGTTGAAGCTCCTGGGAATGATGACCATGTCCTTGTCCTGCTATTCTACGATTATAAGTTGGCCATTTTGCGTTCAGGAGGTTTCGGCTCGCATGACCCCTTGGTTGCGCTTGGGCTCAGTCTTTGTCTTGCTTTGCCAGCGGTCTTCTTCTATGCCCCTTATGACGGAGAGCTTGCAACTCTAGAGGCCCTGATCTGCTCCTGGGGACCTTGAGCCCTAAAACCCCTGAACTTTAAACCCTAAAGTCCGGGGCTCAGCCCTGGACTTCTAAACAGACCCCTATCCCCAAACTCTCTATACGAACCACCCGCAGTGGCTGAGGAATCCTTTCGGCAACGTCTACAACTCCGCAGGGACTGGGCCAAGGATTACCATTGCCGTCTTCTGGATCATGGGCTTCCTGCTCGCCGTCAATGTGGGAGGGTTGCAAAATCAGGGTTTCAACTCTTGCGCTCCGAGTCTTGCATTCGCTGTCCGTCGGTTTAGGCTTGAGACTTTCTATACGCAAACACTCTACATTGGAGTGTATACTTGGAGACAGTTTGCTTGGGATATGCCATCACTAAGACTATAAGTTATTTTGTGTATTTCATGTGCTCGGTTATATGTAGGAACGTGATTAAGACACCCTGGGCCTATAACCCCACAGTAGTAGGGTTCATATAAGGAACCCTAGTAAAGGCCCAAGGTTTCTTTATCAGGTTCCTACATCATGTTAGATTCGATTTTAGTCTTGGTTTGAGTTTCCCAAAGGGTCCTATGTACTGTCATGGGGGATACTACCAGAAGCCATACCAGCAATTCCTACTATGGAAACCCTACACTCTACCATGCAGGTGGTTGTCAAAATTCGGGTCCCTTTCGGGGTCCTTATAATGATACGGCACCTAATATCTAGGGTACCCAAACGGGGGCCCTAATTCTGACAACCACCCATATAGGTACTTAAGACGTTTTGGGTTTGGTACTCTTTGACTTTTCGGGCGCAGGCCAAGGAGCCTCTGGCTGTTTTGCTTTTGGATTCACAAAAGGGCCTGCAAGGCATCATGTGGCCCAGTCTGTTCCTAACATTATTGTGGTATGACAAGACATGGTAGATTGTAAGGTATTGTCTAAAGATATATGAATGAAATTTAGATTGCGTTATGATATATAGTTCTGTCAGGCTCTTTGACTTGAGCTTCATCTCGTGATTGCAGAAGGAAGCACTTGCCTAAGAGTTGCATTCCGTTGTGTCTCTCTGCCGGCCCATAAACACCCTAAACCCTCAGGTTTTGTCCTGACCCTGAGATAGGTCTGCCGTCTGTCACGAGTGCTACCCGGAAAGTACATCGCATCGACGGCTTTCCACTGGGGCACATTTCTGACGGCGCTCCTTTGGGTAGGAATGATCGCCAACGAGGTCATTTCGCTCCTGTCTGTATTAGGAAAAGTTCTTGGCCTTTCTCCGACGACTATGGGCATCACATTGCTGGCCCTAGGGAACACCGTGGATAATGTCTTTGCTTCATACGGCCTGGCCAGCTCGGGAGCGTTTACCGTTGCTTTGACGGGCACCTATGCCGCAGATACGTTTACCATGCTCTGCGTCGTGGGATCTATTCTCCTGATGATGGCGCTCCAAAGCAACGAGGAGGTTCCTCCACCGTAAACCCTGGACCCTGAACCCTTCACCCTAAACCCGTAAACCCTTTAAGCACTATATCCTAAACCCTGAACCCTAAACCGCTAACCCTAAACCCTACACACTAAGCCCTCAACCCTGAAGAGGTTCCGTTCTTGCTCTCCCCGTGCGTGATCTTCCTTCTTATCAGCTTGCAGGTCTTCCTCGCGGTCACGTGGACGCTCGTCGCAGTTTTGGTTGTCGGCTTTAGGGTTTAGGGTTTAGGGTTTAGGGCTCTAGAGCCTTTAACTTCAGAATTACCGCTGCATCATCACACCGCTGCATCACCACATCATTGCTGACGTTCTCAATCTCAATCCTGCCCTAAATCCCCCAGATCATAGCAAAGTTATGTTGAGGGATTAAGGCTTGGGGTTGAGGGGTTTAGCAAGGTTCAAGATTGGTCGTCCGACTGCTCAACACCGACGGTATCGCTTCAGCGCAATGTAAGCCCATTCTGTCCTGATTGGTCGCCAGAACTTTGCCTGAGCATTTGTACTTCTAGCCCTACAGTCCCAGAGAGTCCTAAGTACCTATATGCGGGATACTTGCCCAAACCATATAGTAGTAGTTCCTATTCTCTGAAACCCACAGAAGAGTTCGATATCCTCCACAAGCCACCAAAGGCTTAAAAACAAAGTCTATAAAAAAAAAATCCCCGCGCTGATCATGCCCATGCCCTGTGTTCGAAGCTAAAACCCTAAACTGACCCAAAGCCCCGCTTAGAATTTGCTACAGGATCTGGGTTAAGCTGAGCGGCTGGAAGATCCACAGCGCTCTCGGATGGACCTTGGCGATCTCCTATCCCACGGCTCTGGCACTGGGCTTTCTGACAGAGCGGCATATGGCCCCTTAAAGTTAGGGGACGGGTTTAAGCTGGGAAAATTACAGCGAGCCGCGAGAGACCTGCGAGGCAAGTTTCCGAAATAGCCTTAAATTAAGTTCCGGGAGCTGTAGGGTTTACGAGTGTAGTGCTAGGGTGTAGGGGGATCGTGGCTTGGGCGGTCGCGCCCTCGGCTTTGGTGGTGTCGATTCCATCTCCGTGCAACGGAGCTTAGTGATCCACAATACGATGCTCCAGGACAGCGCCAAAAAGCATCAGAAATAGTAACATGTCAGAGGCTTGATACCCTAAGCCCTAAGCCACAGCATTTGGACCCTAAAGCCTAAAGTCTCTATGGTGATCCGAAATCCTGCGGCTCGGATTGCAGCTCCTCAGTCACAGGGCATCGAACACCAAACACCAAGCTCAAAACTGTAGGGCCCGGTCATGCCCTGCTTTCAGAGTTCAAAGGGGAAAAGGAGGGACCCTTAATAAGGACCCCTAGATAAATACCCTTAATATAGCTATTTTATACCCATTATATAGCCCATTATAGGGTAGGGGTCCCAATAAAGGGTCCCTCCTTTTCCCCTTTGAAGAGTGCCCTTAAGAGGGTTTCACACAGGGATCAGGGACGTTCGAGAACCAGAGTATCGAGAACCAGAGTATGATCAATCGTGCATGGTTTCGGGGTTCTGCCATGAACTTCTTCAAGCTTGCATTGTTTAGTTCAACTTTCGGAACAAACTATAAATAGAGAGAGAGAGAGAGAGAGAGAGAGAGAGAGAGAGAGAGAGAGAGAGAGAGGGGGGGGGAGAGAGGGAGAGGGGGAGGAGAGGGAGAGGGAGAGGGAGAGGGAGAGGGAGAGGGAGAGGGAAGTGTGTGTGTGTGTGTGTGCACCTAGCCTTACAACCGGGGACCTAGGAAGCCTTGGACCCTGAACGGGTGCACAGAGCGCAAAACAATCCTAGAGCCTGTACCCGACAGCGCGGGCGAGTGGCATGCATGGGATGGATGGATGGATGGATTGACGGATGGAGGATTATGTATGTACACATACCCGAAAGGATAGGTTCCAGTAAGTCGGGTTGGATTTCAAGTCCTGTACTTCAGCTTGGTACTGAATGCCACAGCCGTCGTTTGCTAAGGGATATTCTGATATTCTGAATCTGGCGCTTCGGGTCAGAGGCTAGCCTTCACACTCCGCGGCCTTTAAAGACAAACTCATGCACCAGTCTCGGCATTTAGGCGAACGACCTTGAAGTACTCGAGTGACCCTGCAACCGAATTCCCTAAACCGCGAGCCAGAAGGAGCATGTCCTCCGGGAAGTCTCTTCTGTCCGGGGCTTAGCCTTTCACCTACCTTTTTGCTTGAAGTTCGGTCTAGGGTTTTGAGCTTGAGGTGCGTGTTTCTGTGTGTGTGTGTGTGTCTGTGTCTCTGTGTGTGTGTGTGGTGTGTTCGATATGTAGCTCAGCATCTGGCTTCGTAGGGTCGGTTTTTCGGGTGTCGGAGGCTTCCGTATATCTAGATCCCAGGTGGCTTGTGAGGGATCCGAGAGGTTCCGCTGCCTTATGACTTGATCCTGAATTGCAAACGCTAAACTCTAAAGACACAGCAGAGCAATCACAAGCCTTGTCTACGCAGTTGGACACCTGTTGAGCAGAGCGCTACGGTTGATGATATAAATCCTGCATTACCTTAAGGTCCCTAAACTATGGAAATTATGGTATATTCCTTGTTATGGGTAATGCAGGATTTATATCATCAACCGTATCGGAGGGTTGTGCTGCAGGAACCTGAGGGCAACATGATCCGAGCATCAGATTCAGAATTCAACGCCGCGCAAGTCTACAGGTCCATAATCCTAGTGTAGGAACCTGATTAAGAAACCTTGGGCCTTAATGAGGGCTCCTTGTATGAATCCTCTTGTTTGGTGGTATAGGCCCAGGGTTTCTTAAGCAAGTTCCAGGAGTCCAGAGCCTTTGTCCGCCAGCTAGCTAACAGCTCAGGGCATCAACCTAGTTGGGCAATCTATCCCGAAGCCTCACCCCAAGCTTGCCGAATCTTTGGCAAATTTCCGGGGCCGTGGGAACACTTCGATACGCGCAAGAGGAACTCCTTCAAATCTCTCAGATTCCCAAAACCCTGACCGTATAGTTTAAACATACAAACCTTTAATCCCGCAAATTAAAAACCCGTAAACCCCAATCGTGGTACACTGGACTTTCTCAAACCCCCCCTGCTCTCCCAAACCCTGAAACTTAAACCTAAAAGCCCTGACTATGAAATCCAAGCTGCCAGGCACCTTCGGGGAAGTCATGCCTGTGAGGTTGGGCCTCTGAAGGGCTTTAGGGGGGGCTTTGGGGCATTTGGGAGTTTCCGAAAATAGGGGGCCCAACTATGGTACCATAAATAGCAGGACCCTTATTAGTAAGGACCCCAAAATCAGGTACCCCTATTTTCGGAAGCTCCCATTTGACGGGTTGTATTCAGTCGTATCTGGCCTTTGGGTGGTTGTGGGGCCGGGTATTCCCAGAGGACCCATTATCCCTTAATTAAGGAATATACCTTAAATCATATGAGGGATCCTATTATAACTTAAGGTATATTCCAAAATTAAGGGGTATTGGGATCTCTGGGTTTGGGGCTATGGGAGTTTAGACCGCATTTTCTTTCGAGTGCCTGGCCCACAGGCTAGACTAGACGGGTGCGCTTGGAGGAAAGTTTTCTTGAAGCTGTGTCTGCCAGTCCCGAGACGGGAGCCACACAAGCTAGATTCATACCAGTAGTAAGTTTTGGCGAAATCAGGATTATGGGGTTTGGGACTCCAGGCTTTGAAGGCTTTTGAGGCGTGATGTCAGATGTTAAGCTGAGCACTGCTGGGGTTTGCTCTAACTCAACGCGCCGGCATGACAACAGTGCTGAAGCCTGTACTGCCGCTGGGCATCTAGCAGCATTATGCAGCCACATTCAGTCATTGTCATGTTGTTAGTTCACAAATCGCCAGCGTAGGCGGTTGGGTCAAGTTGGACAGTTCACGTCATGTCCTTCAGTTGGTCGTTAACATGGTCAGTGTCATATAGGCCGATGATCAATCAAAGGTAAAGAAGTGATGTATTCAAGCTGCCAATGCCTTGTCTATCAGACAGTCCGGCCGACCTAAACATGTACACTAGTCACTAGTCTTAATTTGTTGAACCCAGCGGAGCCACACGACATGCTGAGTGACGAAGGGATATTTCGAAACGTTCTCGTCGAACATCTCAACTAACAGTGCGCCACCTCCCAAAGTCAAGAAGCGCAGAGCCAAGCTCGTAATAGTTATCGATGGTAGGACAAGTGCTTGCGACGTAAGCACTAGAACGTCGACAGGCAGCTGCAGCTGGCTAGATCATGCAACTGGGCAAGTGGTCACACTCTCGCCTACTGCTGATTTCGCTCGGTTCACTGTTGCCTTTTTTGGTCAGCTTCTGCCCGCTTGATACGGGTGGCAGAAGGGTCCTTCCTGTCTTTCCCGATCAAACAGCAACAGACTGTCAGGTCGAGGTGATATATGTAGTCTCCGTACGCAGTCTAGCTCCCAGGAATCCGAATCTCGCCACCGCAAGCACTCAACTGGCCAACCGCTGATTCTAGAATTCCCATACTTAGAGACTCTGTAACCAAACCCTGAACCCTGAGCCCTAAGAGAGCATTTTTGTCGTACCATCCAGGCGCCTACCGCGTGCCCCGCTGGATCCTCAGTCCTCTGCTGCCATTTGTGGTAGAGGCGTTTGAGGTTGAGGGGTTGCTAGGGTTTATGGGTTCGGGGTTAGCAGTATAGAGTTGAGGCGAAGGGCGTGAAGCAGCTTTTGTGGCTGGGGGGTTGCGTGAATTCGTTGCTGTTTGGTAGCTCAATGCTTCTCTCTACATATGTTCAGTGCACTCCTCCCATTCTGCTCATTGTGCTAGCGGCCGGATGTGAGGATTAGTCATTCCGAGGTTGGAATTAACTTGTAGCCCTTACTTATGGCCATACTATGACATGCCCGAACACCTTGCTCTTATTATGAAGACCGTCACATCAGGGTGTTTACCTCGTCGACACATTCACGAAATTGACGATGTCGAAGTATTCACGATGACCTGTCCTCGAGCAATGATGCCTGATCGGTTGTGTTTTTCCGTGCGTGGCAGTTGTTGTGAAAGTGGCTGTCGTTGCTAGTGGTGCTTTGGCTATTGTTTTTATAGTACTAGTATTGGCCCTTCGTCGCAGCTGGTAAGACAGCATAAGTTCAAATCATCAAAAAATTAAACGATGAAGCCCTGAAGCCAGAGACTCTAACCACTGACACGAAATTGAAAGACCCGCGAGCCGCCAATTCCTGAACCCGGAAAGCAGGAAATCCTTATGCGAGGCTTAAGTGATTAAATTAAGGCCCAACAACCCTAAACACCAACTGTTTGTCACCCCTGACTACGTCACTAGCCCTAAACCGGAAATCCTAAACCGCACCTAAGCACCCTATATCAGAAACCCAGGCGTGTGGAAGTCCCAAAGCCCGAAAACCCCTGCAGTCCGGAGGCTGGTTTTGGGGTTTAGGGTTCCGGGCACCCTATACAGCTTGGTAACTTATCTAACCATTCACGCCCGTGGATATACTAGTTATGAAAGCTTATGAAAACCCACTACAATGCCCGATTCTCACCATTCACGCCCCAATGTATGCGAAACACGAGAGATTTCACCGTAAACCCTCAGCCTCTGAGCCCCTAAACCCGAAACCCCCGAAACCCCGGGCCCTGAACCCTGAACCCTTAAAGCCTAAGGCCCTAAATCGTACACCTTCCCTCAACTCCGAAACCGCCCCCGAAACCCCCAAAGAAGAACCGAGGCTTCGAGACACGTGGACAGATGGAGGTGCTTTCAGGACAGGGCTTCGGTTTTCACCAAAAGGCCCTGATTTTTTTTATCGGGTTCCTTTAAAGGGATCTAGAATAGGGTTCTATAATATGGAGGCGTGATCATTACCTTTCCTATTTTGGGGGTTCC